TGGGGGGCGGTTTGTGGGTGTTGGGGGGGTGTATGGGGGTATTTGGGGTTGGTATGGGGGTGTTCGTGGGGTTATTAGGGGTTCTGGACCCAAAAATATATGTTTATGACGATATATATATCACAAATAGAACTGCCCAGTAAACCGTAGGCAGAGAGAGAGAAGAGGACAACAAACGAGGGGCTGTGACAAACTGTTTCATCGGAGTTTCACCGACTCATCAGGAGGCTGAACCCTCATATATATATATGTATATTTTTTTTTTGCAGGGTGCCACCGACCCCTGACCAGTAGGTGCTGACCAGCCGACCGGTCGGCGGGTCGGCAGCCGACCAGTCAAGGGTCGCCGACGGTTGGGGTGTGCAACACTGGTGGCAGTGTATATTTCCATGTTCTGGCTGAAGATTCATTCCGATTTTGCTCATCCTACACACACACAGAGACCGCCATTTCCACGCTCCACCGAATGAGCAAAACGGGATTGAATCTTCCCCTAGGACATGGAAGTATCCACTGCCACAACATGCAAATATACACTGTGGCCGTGTATATTTCCTTTGGCAGTGTATATATCCATGTTCTAGCGACAGATTCATTCCCATTTTGCTCATCCTCTCTCTCTCTCTCTCTCTCTCTCTCTCTCCGCGGCGACATTTGCATCTGACAGCTCCTTATTAGTCCATACTCACACCGGGATTTCTTTTCAATGTATCTGTCCGCAGTTACGGGCATATTGACTTCTGGGACCTTTTGGGACATACTCACGCTTGGACTTCAGGCAACTTAGGGCACACACACTCTGACTATCCTTACGATATACTGACACTGAGACCCTCTGGGACATACACTGCACCCCACCTGCCGCTGCATTCCCGCGGCACGCCTCTGACTTGTGCCGTTAAAGAGGATAAGGGCATACTCACACCAAGACTTTCCTGGATGTACCTGACTGGAATTACAGCTGGAGCTCAATGTATCTGATTGATTCTGACCGCAATTATGTCCAGGGTTCAGTGGACAAGTGGGAAGTGTGAGCTTGCCGGAAGATACACGTACAAGCAACAAAGCATTCAGAATTTCACGACTGACACATGCCGGAAGATACACGTACAAGCAACAAAGCATTCAGAATTTCACGACTGATATCAGGAACGATTTTTCACGACCGATGCCAAGAAAGCATTCGTGATTTTAAATCACCTATGGCCGACTGCAGTTTGCCCAACCAGGGGTAGGACTACCAGAAGTCACCAGCATAGTTTACCCGTGGCCCCTGTATAAGCCGGCACTGTGCCGATTGTTTAAGGACCTCACAGATTCTTTTGAGACCTTTTGAATTTGACGTTGTGAATGCTCAGTCTGGGCTGGACGTGGAGCCATCGGTCCCTTCCATTTGCATTCCTCACATTCACAATGCTCTCTGGGCATATGCAAATAAAACTGGGCTATAACTGCTGAAAAGTCAGAAAAAGTTGAAAAACTGAAAATTTATTTTGTGGCCTCGCTCGGTTGGTTGAGCATGCAAGCGCTATTCAGGAGATCGTGGGTTCAATCCTTCATGGCCGCTGCGTCGTTGCGTGGTGTTGACCGGCTGAGGTAGTTGGCTTTCCCCCCCTGGCCGGTCTTGGCAGGAGCTTGGGCTCCCTTCACCCTTGCCCCTGGCATCCCTCACTGGGGGTTAGGAGCCTAGAGGTACTACTCCCTGCATAGAGTAGAGTAGAGTAGATAGACACAGCCTGCCTTTTTCCTTTGGTGCATAGACATGGGAGTTCTTTTTCCAGATATGTGGGTAGATAGCGCGAGGTATGTAGGCAGCTAGTGTGAGGTGGGAAAAAATTGAGAGAGGAAGATAGCTTAGTCCAAAAACAGAAAAAAGTGCTTCCAGCCTTCCATACTAAAATGAGCTCGAATATAAACAAACAGGCAAGGAGATGTTCCAGAAAGCCTCATCCATCTACCATGCCCTCCAAATGTCCAAGATCGCTTTTTTTCTTTTTTTCTCGAACGTCCAAGATCAACAAACAAGAGCAATAAATTATTAAATGCATCCTGGAACATCTAGAGAGAACAATCACACAAGAAATCGCCACCAAATTAGTCGAAACTCTCCACTGGAAGAACTTTATCAGGCAGGTTGTAAGAATGTGAGGACATCTTCAGAGCACAAAATACACGAGAATTGGCCGTCAAGCGATTGGAAATAAGAAAAACCTCAGGAATAGATGATATGACCACAGTCCTTCAGGACATCGGTGAAAATTGGAACGATACAGAGAAGATTAGTATGAGCCCTGCAAAAGGATGACACACACAAATCGAGAAATCGTCCAAAAGTTTGTGGTGTCCAGGGCGCCCCAGGAAGCCCTTGAAAATCTGGAGTTATGTGTACCTCTTATGCCTGGCCATACTGCAAGGAAGATGAGCAATAGCGAACTTCAGAAATCAAACAGCATCATACACATGAGACCAGATAGTCGTGACCTTGAACCAATAGCAGAATTGCATCACGAGTTTCACCAAATAAGAGCATGCCAAAAGCTCATAATTGACAATGCTGGAATAGTCTCATCATCATCAACGAAGAACCAATGTTGATATCCTATCTGGCGCTCGGCGCCCAGACTACATATGGCAGATCCTATCTAGCCTACTCTACGATGCCCCTGATGACGTCAACAGCTCCCCGAAGTACGAGCAGATCTCGGACAATGCCGTACGCTTCAAGCACCAGGTATGTCTCTCGTATCACTCACAACCTCGTTCCTCAACTCACAGATGCCACATGCACCCAAGGACCACCATGCACCCCATCCAGCATACAGCAGCGCAGCTCGGCTATGGCTGCCTGCTCCTTCCAGCTCGCCCATGAGTGCGTGAGCCTGGCCAGCGTTAGCGCAGCATGCAGCCAGTGCCCGAATGCCGAATGCGTGTGCAGGCCCTTTCCTAAATGGAAGTGGCCTGCCTACCTTGCGTGCAGCCTGGCTGCGCTGGACCCCTTCCCTGACCAAACGTATCAGGCCCAAGGCCTGTGACAGTTACCCGTGCTCAACTGCCCGCGTTGGGTCCATGCTGCGTATCTCGCCCAGGGCCTGACTCAGATGCGTTTGATAAAGGAGGCCAGGGCCTGGCGCTGCGCAACTGTCTAAATTTTCCCCCAGTTGCGAAGTAGTCCAAAATAGGCCTCTTGTTGTCTGTCGAGCCTGCCTTCGCTTAGGACGGCCGACCCTGTTCCAAATAGGGGCCCAGTATGGCTTATCGAGGCTTTGTACCTCGCAATACTCATAACCGCATCAGGCCTCCAAAGAAAAACAGAAAAAGGAATAATAATATCGAGAGATGACCACAAAGGAAATAATCAAAACATCAACGATGAAAGATGGCATGACCAAAAACAAAGAAAAAGAAAAGATGAAGTTACCAGCTGTCTACTTTTGGCCATTACTCAAAGAAGACCTCCCTAGAGTCCCTACCTTCTTCAGTGACAGGTGGAAAAGGGAAGGAGGAGGGGGGGGGGGGGGGAGGTCAAGGATTTCCGGAGCACCAGCATGGCCATTGGTCTCCTTACTCTACACGAAAGGGGAGAGGGAGGAAATCATGAACTGCAGACCAACCTCTCTGTTAACGACTCCAGACAAGATCTTAGTAAAAGCTCCCCCGCCAACAGACTCCTGAGCATCATAGAAAAGTGTTTTCAGATACTGGGGAGATAGATACCACGTACTGCAAGTACAGCAAGTACAAGCAAGTAAATTGGTGTTTTCTCCAGGTATGAATGGCCTCAATGGGTGTGGGAGAGAACTTGAGGTAGTGGGTTAGAACTTATACAGATGGCACAGAAAGGTCCTGTGTGCTGGCCAGTAAAATATGTGGTAGGCGGGCGATGCTCTGTGGGCAGTGTGGCGCAGACAACCTGCAGGTCTGCATGACCTAATAGAACGTAAGGTCATTGTGCCCATATTTGGGGCAACTTTCTGACTAGATAAAGAGATAATTACCATACTTTCTATTTGCGGGAAAACCATAGGCTCAATTTGGAAGTCACCAGGCCAAGCTGAGACTTAAACACGGGGCTGCAGGGTCCTATCTCAGTTGATGCTTATCATCTTATCAAACGTTCTTCCAACTTGCTTTTATTCGTCAATTTCCAACAGTGCTTCTCAGTCCACGCTGTGAACGTACTCATAGCATGAATCTGACCAGACCCTAATGCCCTGTGCATGATTGATGGACGAAGAAATACCTGTGCATGATGGCTCTGAGACACGAACGACCCTTTGCATGATTGATGGCTGAAGAAATACTTGTGCTAGAATGTACTTACGGTGTGAAGGGCACTTGCGATGACTGAAGAAATACCTGTGCATGATGAGACCTACTCATGCCATGAATCTGGACAGCGACTCAGGACCTGTGCATAACCTAGAAATCCACAGTGTCCCTTGTGAGACAAAGCAGAACAGGATGGGCAGCATCTCTCTCTCTCTCTCTCTCTCTCTCTCTCTCTCTCTCTCTCTCTCTCTGTGTGTGTGTGTGTGTGTGTGGCAATTTACTTACTCGTGAAAGCTGTGGTACATGTCAGAGAAGCTGTCCTCCTTCTCGTCGCCACCTTCTGATCTTCTTTCCAATGACGAAACGCTAGAAGACCTCAATATTCCTGGAAGATCAACCAAAAACGCCACTTTCAGAAGAACGACCGTAGTGTGCAAAAGATGGTCATTATTCCTTGTACGGCCATTATTACTCATGAAACTTGATGCAAGTGTAAACGATGGAGCAAGAGCCATAGACCCAAAATGCTTTAGTCCTGAAATAGCTAGGCTTGCAGTTTGCATCTGTTTGGGAAGAAGATGCGAGAGATGCCATTTAAACAACTGCACTTCACGCAAGAGTTTAACAAAAGTGTCAGCAAGTGGTAACAGAAATTCACATATCCGCACTGCGCCAGGTAGACATTCCGAACCTGGGTTCTACTAACCACAGTAAACGAGCGGTTAAGTGAAACCTGGGCCGGGAATGCCCAGCAAGAGCAATTAAGCTCTATAAGCGATCACACTGCATGCAACAAATTACATCCGTAATGCAGAATGTCCGAAGCACAGAGCCTGATCCACCAAGGTCCACGTGAATTTGTCTGTATGTGTAGAGTAATATACTACATGCTAAGGGAATTGCAGTTTGAAACGGTTTTCCCTTTTTGCAGTAGCAGATGCAGATCCCAGGGCTCGATCCCTAGTCCTTACCCCGCCGTGTACAGTACCTGTGTAGACCCCGAGAGTTGAACCCGTGACCTGTGTACTTGTAAGCAATTGGTAGGCTGTCATAGGTCCGTAGGTTGTAGGGGGTTTGATCTGTAGGTCTGTCGAATAGTAGTCTTAGTGAAGTCTAGAAGTCTTAGCTGTAGACTTCTAGAAGGTCGGCAAGTGGGCAAGTGGGCAAGTGGTGAGCCAAGTGGTAGACTAACTGGAGTACGATTGCAGTACGACCCCAGTAGGTTAGCAGTGAGTCTCCACGCAGTTAGCGGTGCAGTTCAGTCAGTCCCAGTCCTGTCCAGCAAGTACCATGAGGGACTGTGTGCACCATGGGCCGATGGAAAATGAGCTGCAGATGTATAAATCAAGAGGCAGTGCCCAGCCATTCATTCATTCCTGCGTGAGCCATGCGGAAGCGCTGCCGCAGCGACTTGTGCAAGGAGGTCTGCAGTGACACCCGAGGACGAAGTGGGCAGAGAGACGAAGCTTAGCCATAGCGATAGGGTAGAGGTGGCCATAGCCACCATAGCTATAGTGAGTGTTCAGTGTGTGTGTGTGTTAGTGTTCAGAGAGACGCGTGTGGGAAATCCAGGGTGATCCACTGTATGCGAACAGAGAGTTGTATGGGCGCTATATCGCCATAGCCATTGGAAGTGAACTCGTATCTGGTTGCCATATCTCTGAGTACTGAGTGGGCGCATGCCACCAGTTTGCTGCGCTACTGCTTGCATGCATGTAAACTGTGAATGAAAGCAAGTCTGATTGCATTAGTATCGGAGCTGGTACCCGCTATTCCACGCGCCGTGTTGTGCGTCACAGGGAGTGATGCACCATAGTAGAGGTGGCCGCCGAGAGCAGTAGTCTGCCATAGCGGACCTGGAGGTTGGAGAAGCCGCCACGCACCTGCAGAGAAGACCACGACGAAGAAGAAGAKCGAGAGAGAGAGAGAGAGAGAGAGAGAGAGAGAGAGAGAGAGAGAAAGGTTGAGCGATACAAGATTGGTTTACTACGTACCTGCTGCGCTGGAGATACCGCTACAGCGAGAGAGAGAGAGAGAAAGAGAGAAAGAGAGAAAGAGATGAGTGATACAAGTTTGGATGTTACGTACCTGTGAAGTGCAGTCCCGTGAAGAAGGAGAAAGCGGCCATAGCCGCGGAGCTTGACCACGGAGTGACGAAGGAGGGAGAGAGAGTGGACAAAGGGAGAGTGTGGCATACTGTGTAGCCACACGGGCCTGCAGGGCCCGTTCCGCATTCTCAGCCTAAAAGCCTAGAAATAAGGGCTTACAGGCCCCCTGTCGTTTCAGCCTGAAAGACTGAAAACGAGGGCCTGCAGGGCCTATGTCGTTTCAGCCTAAAACAGGGCTTTTCAGCCCTGAGGCTTTTCAGCCTGAAACGGGGGGCCACTTTCGGGCCCTCATAAGATCGACCTGCCCTAACACTCAGGCACAAAACCAGGGTTTCAGGAACAGGCTATCTTTAGCCTGTTCCCACGACAGCCTCAAGCAAGAGCTGCAGCGGCAGCCTCTGACTCCCTTCGGCATTGGCAAGAGCAGCCTCCTGGACTGCCTCGCCCTGCAGTCAGGAGGCAGGCCGAGTAGTACATAGGGAGTTCCCATGCACTTCACGGGTAGGTAGTTGGACAGAAGGCAGGAGTAGTCTTCAGGATTCGGCCGCAGCACTCAGGAGGAGCGCTGCAGGAGTAGCTTAGCGCTAGCAGTAGTCTTCAGCGCTGGGCGCTAGTAGCCATAGCAGTAGTCTTCAGCGCTGGGCGCTAGTAGGTAGTAGTAGTGTTGGGGAGATATGGCTGGCGGAGGCCAGTGAGACTTACCTGTGGCGCCATAGCTCCAGCTCCATCTTCGAGGTATCTGCATCAAGGCGCCAACTTCACAGGTTAGTACCGGACTAAGAGAGAGAGAGAGAGAGAGAGTTCTTCTTCTTCCTCTTCTAAGTCCACCATCTCTTCTTCACCCTCTCACTCCCTGACTTCTCAGTATCAGTGGACTACCACAGAGAGAGAGAGTCGTGACTTGAGACTTGACGACATTGGATCCAGACTCGACATTGGGATTCAGACATTTTGACGAGGGACTATTTGGGCCTGTGCCGAAGACTTGGTGTTGACGACATTCCCATCTTCCCCTCTTCTTCGTCTAACCCCCCTCTTCTTCGTCTGTGTATGGTTGGGGCTGGCGCATTCTTCCTGTGTGAGCGCCAGACCCCTCCACACCATGGAATGATGACGATGATGTATGTCCGGGGCTGCATTGCAATATTGATTGTTCGGATCATTGGTTCGGATCATTGGTATCTAAGTTTTCCGCTGTGCTATCTTGTACTTTGTTAGAGAGGTCGGTTCTTGTTCTGGTCTGCACCTTTACAGTATGCAACAGTTTGGTATCGGAGCGGACCTCTCATTCAGAGGACCCGCTTAATCAAGTAGCCAGCTTGCTTGATCTATTGATTACTCGTTAGTAAATCAAGTACGACTTCGTCAAATCTCTGAATTTTTTTTCTTTTTTCTCGCAACAACTATCTGAAAATTTCTGATAATCGCATTTCGTTTTACCTGAAATTTCTGATATTAATATTTCGTTTTCACGCAACAAATATCTGAAAATTTCTGATAATCGCATTTCGTTTTACCTGAAATTTCTGATATTAGTATTTCGTTTTCACGCAACAAATATCTGAAAATTTCTGATAATCGCATTTCGTTTTATCTGAAAATTCCTGATAGTAGCATTTCGTTTCTCTGATATTTGCATACATAGCTGAAAATTTCTGATGTTAACATTTCGTTTTCTAGGCATATTAGAATAACGATAGAAGTGGTCATATTCTCGGAAACCGGATTTATTCTTTTCTGAAAATCGAATTTCCATTCTATCTCGCAAATTTTTTTTGAAAACCGAAATCTTGCGAAGCCTACCAACTTTTCGTTAGGCATATTCGGAGGTTGCCGTATTCTCAGAAACTGGATTTAGTTCTTTTCTGAAAATCGCATCTCTACTCTATTTCACAATGTTTTTTTTCAAGATCACATTTTGTGAAAGCCGAAACTTTGCGGAACCTAGCCTAGATCTCGCTCATAGTACTCTTTTGACATGTCTCACTCATAACAGATCGACAGATATACGGAAAAAAAAAAAAAAGGAAGTAGTCCTCTTTTATTTTTTTATTTTTATCTGTTGATTAGTGAAACGGTATTCACCAATTCGTGGTAGCTGAGGTAGATCCCAGGGCTCGATCCCTAGTTCCCCAACTTACCTGTGTACAATACCTGCGTCAACTCGAAGAGTTGAACCTGCG